GATTTATAGAGGACACTTGAGACCACCTCCAGCAGCCAGAAAGACCAATTAGCAAACTCATAAATGGGCTTTTGTTTACTGCTTTGAATCCCCAAACTAATTAATGGTGTTCAAGTAAGGGTTTCACCCTTGATTTTAAAACTTTGTTAAGTGTAAGTTATTTTTAAATTTGTGAAAATAATGCATTTCACACTGGAAAAAACTGCGCTTATAAAATCGTTTTATACTCGAACAATTCTGCACCAGGCAAAGGTCTTGAAAAAAAGCAGATGTGGGACATGTAACAGACGTGATTAATTTGCGTTAGAACACCACCGAAACCCGCCAAGGGTCGAGTATGTTCAGATGGACTTAGAACTCCTAGGTCTGCTGAGAACGTGGGGACAGAGTCAAGCCGGCCGATCTGGGGCAGGAGTATAAGTCGGTGCAGACCTTCGGGGACTGTTGGACAATTCCGAACAAAAACGGCAGATCCCCGTGCCCTTTAATACAAAATCTAGGCATGTTATTCTAGATGTGCTAGCACCCTGCATGGGCAAACATAAAGACGTTCATCACTGCACTATTTCTAACAGTAAGACACTGGAATCGGGGACTGATTAGATTGCAAAATTAATAAAGGACAGCGTTTAAAATAAAAGCCTTCTGCAATGGGAGATCTCCCACGGGGGCTGTGGTGTGGTCACCAAAGCAAACTCATAAAGCAGTTGGTTAACTGTCCACTTTTCACCACTTGTTAATAGTATTCCTTAGCCTCCGCTGCTCCAAGCATCCAAGGTGGAGAGGTCCAGTTTGTGCGGATATTTAGGGGCGGAGGAGGGTTGTCCCAGGAGCTTGAAAGCCTGCAGCTGTCTCGGTCAGCCCTGGAGGGCCTACTGAGCGCAGGCTGCTGAGCTCCTTCCACACCTGGCCTGGCCTCCCCCACCAGGCACCTGTGGGAAATGGCAGGACCCGATCCAAGGGCATGAGATCGGAAGCCATTTAGGATTCCTTTTCCTCCTGTGTAGAAGGAGGGCTCGGACAGGCTGCCCTTTGTAAGAAGCATTCTCAACAATGAGAGCTGCAGACAGCCTCGGCGTCTCCTGGGTCAGGACCTCTGGGGTGGGGCCCGGGGGTCAGTATTTGGCTGCCTGCCCAGGGAGTTCTTAGGCAAACTGAAAGATTGAGGACTTCTGCAAACGCCCTAGCTATGCTTACGTTTACTCGAGTTCTGACACCTAAACACCATGTGTCACGCATACACAATACTTATCCCCTGCGTACACAGAGTCAGAGTCCCATAACACGGCTCGCCCGTCAGTCACACCTCAGCCTTGCAAATGCGAGGGGACCTGGTGGGGGACAAATCATCACGTTACGTATTAAAGATGGGGCAATGTATTATAGTAGGTCCTGAGTTCACCCCACGCAAACTGCCCTGCGTGCCGGGTGTGCGTGGTGGTGGGTCCTCCTTTCACGGCCAGACCCGACTGTAGTCTGGAGACAGTATCTGTAGGAACGAAGAGCTGCCCTGAAGCTGCTTTGTAAGGCACGACTCATGGCGCTTAGTTTTCGCTGCCAAAGGTAGCAGAGCATGGGATGCTGGCTTCATCTCGAGCCCTGACTTCCATTCACTCGGGAGGGACACCACCATTCCTTGCTCCCCGCCTCGGCTTCTCGATTCAGAGGAGCAGCATGAAAACTGCTGCTCGTTTCTCAGCGATAACTCAGACACCAATGAGTTAATATTTGTCATTGGCACTGTCAATTGCCTAGAAAGAAAATGGCATTCAACGAAGTGCTTGGTCTGAATGCACTCCTATATGCCTGCATGTCTAAGATCTTCCTGGACAGGTCGCAGACATTCTTGAATGCAAGAAAGCCTACGTGGGAGTGTGAGCAAACTATGCTCCAGGATTCAATCACATACCTGTGATACTTCTGCCTGCTACGTGCTTAGAGTCTACCCCTGGCATCCCTGTGGACCTGGACTGTCCAGGAACATGACCTCTAGCTACATGGGACGATTTAACTTTCAGTTACTTAAAATTAAATACAATTAAAAATTCAATTCCTCAGTAGCACTAGTCACATTTCACGTGCTCACCAGTAGCTACGGATGGTGGATGGCGACGGCGGGGAAGAGGGCAGACACCAGCCACCCCCATCGGCTCGGAAAGCTCTTTCAGACAGCACTGCTGCAGGCTCCAGACCCCGTCTCGTCATGCCGGGCTGACAGCAAGTGCTGAGTAACTCTTTGCTGCATGAGTAAGAAAATAATGAGTTCGGACTTGTCTTAATAATTCCTCAATGAGACAGAACGGAAGACAGAATCTGCTGGAGCCCAAACCCGTGTTTTGACCCAATTGGATTAGCTGGAGTTATCATTATTCCCTTCTGCCTTCTTCCGGTTTTGTTTTTATGGAACACTTTACACATTTTGGATCAACCCTCACCCTATTTATCTACTCCTTTAATTCTAGTCAAATCTGTCATTATCTGTGCCTCCAAATAAATTATCTAAACACTATTTTACCCAAACTGGGTATTTGCAGTTGAACAGACAAGGTATGTGTTAAACTTTCCAGGAAATTGATTTTTTTTTTTCATAGGTTAGGATCAAATTCTAGACAAACTTATTTCTCAGGGCAAGAAAGAATTCCCCTTTTTAAGCTTCCTTTCCTTTTTTTTTTTTTTAAAGACTTGTATTTATTTATTTGACAAAGAGAGAGACAGCGAGAGAGGGAACACAAGCAGGGGGAGTGGGAGAGGGAGAAGCAGGCTTCCCGCCGAGCAGGGAGCCCGACTGGGGACTCGATCCCAGGACCCAGGAATCATGACCTGAGCGGAAAGCAGACGCTTAACGATGGACCCACCCAGGTGCCCCATGCTTCCTTTCCTTAAAAAAAAAAAAATTAAGCAAGTAACCCGGGGAACCATATATCACCAAGAGGAAACTGGAAACTTCCAGGGCAAAAACCTCACACCCAAGACAAACTGCAAGGAAACCTGAGTTGAAACTGATCCAGCTATTTTTAGGATTACAATAAATACCCCCTTGGCTTCAACCCCACAATTTACTGCCTAGTTCCAGAAGATAGGGACACAAAAAGAGCTGGAGACTGTAAGCGACTCTGCACCCCAGGATTGCAGGTTTCATCCCAAAACAAGGGTTCTGGGCTGCGGCCCCTCCAGAGTGAGCCATCATTTCCACCCCCAAGCCCCCAAGCGAGTCCTCCCCTCCTTCCTTCCTGGAAAGCAGATTCTAAGTTTGCGTATGTTACCCAAAGTCTCTCCAGGATATCAAATGAATGTAACATACTTAGCCAAATAAACTGCAGAACACGCCAGAAATCGAAAGATGGGCTCCTGCAGTTCCCAATTTTTACAGCAGGCGTTTCGGTTAAAACAACAACAACAACAACAACAAAATATATTTCTCCTGCAGAATCTTTATAAATATGGCTTTAACGATCAAAAATTACTTTTAGACATTCCCCTGCAACAAGAAACGACTTTCTGATTTGCTCAGCAGAGAGAGCACTGTGCAGGTGCGTTCAAGGGAGAAGCAAAACCAGAAAATGGATTTTCATTGAGTTATACTGTCTTGATGCGGAAAAAGTTAAGGCTGGTGTACATCTCCTTTATTACGAGTTTGACTTGGTCTGATTCAAGACCTAAATGATTTAAGGGGGAGTTGCTCCATGGAATACGGATCTCAGCAGAAGAAAATAAAAGGCAGCCGGCCCACGATGACCCCACAGACTCCAGGCCACTCCCTTCTAAACGAGGTCTCCTTTCGGGTCGCGTGCAATCGCTCCAAAGGACACAACCCCAGATCCCAGCGGGCCCCTTAGAGACCTAGTCCTAGTTTAGAACCAGCTCCTCAAACCTCGCTCCCACCCCCACATTCATTTCATCAGAACCATGAAAGAAAAGTAAGAAAAGGTGCAGTTGCTTTTCTCCCTACGCGCGCCCTAAATCTTGGGGGCTGGGTTCCACTCTTCACAGCCAGAAGAAAGAACACGGAGCTGCTCGCCTCTTCATCTGATGCATTTTCCTCTCTCGCCTTTGGGGGGAAACAAGCTAGACTGCTCCCCCGCTCCAGTACTTTGTCTCCCATTCCTTCCCCGCCCCCGGCCCGTTTGGCTCCCGCGCAAAACAAGAGACTTCTGCCCCAAACCGAGGGACCACTGCGCGGAAGGGTAGAGGGCGGGTGGGGCCCCGCAGCGGCGCCCCTCGGAGGCCGGGGCAGGAAGCGGCCCACTTCCCCGCTTCGGGCCAGAACAATGGCTTTTTGCCCGGAAAGCGAAGTTCGGAGGAGGCCGGGCGCGCCCCAAGGGGCGGCCCAAGCTGGGCTTGGCGCGCGGCCCCCGGGTCCCAGGCCCCCCAGGCGCCTTTCCTGCTCGGAGGGACCTGCCCGCGCCCCCGGCCCGGCCCCCGAGCGCGCGGGACCCCAACCCCGGGCGCGAGGCCGAGCCCGCCGCGAACAATGCGCGCCCCGCCCCCTCGCCCGCCCCCGCGCGCCCATTGGCCAGCGCCTGACCAGGTCGGCCCGCGGGGGCGGGCGCGGGCCGGGCGCGGCGCGGGGGCGCGGGGGCGGTG